TGTCCCTCAGTAGATCTCAAGTGAAGGTAAAATAAATATACAAGACGGGGATATATCTTATGTGGTAAATTAGTTAAAGGTAACCATCCCATCGTATCTAGTCTGCCAAGCAACAGTGGATCATATTGAGAAGGTAGATCTCAAGTGATGGTAAAATAAATATACAAGACGGAGATATACCTTATGTGGTAAATTAGTTAAATGTAACCATCCCATCGTATCCAGTCAGACTGCACTGTTCCATTTGTCCCTCAGTAGATCTCAAGTGAAGGTAAAATAAATATACAAGACGGGGATATACCTTATGTGGTAAATTAGTTAAAGGTAACCATCCTATCGTATCCAGTCTGCCAAGCAACAGTGGATCATATTGAGAAGGTAGATTTACCTTTCTCCCCGTAACAATTGGTCGATTAGCAAAATTTGAATAAGTTTGTTCGTGATTGTATGTAAGAAAATCAACAGTTGGATAGCGATGATGTTGTTGTTGTTGTTGACGTTGTGCAGGGTTAGAGGTTTTTCCACATTCGGGTCTCGCTCTTTTTGTTCTCGGCATGATGACTGCAAAAGTTAAAAAAAATGTATGAAAAATGTATAGCAAAATGTATGATGTTGGTGTGAAAAAAAAAAAAGGAACAAATAGGCAAACTGAGCCTTTGCTAAAAGGCAACCAACAGATAGCGAAACTGAGCGCAAAAGGCAAACTGGTGGCTGAAACCGGATGACCGGCGAGATAACCGGGCGGTTGTCCCATATGGTGGATTTTTCGCCTTTCTGCAACTCAGCTTTGAAACTATCAAGTGTGGTTCAAACTAACCTCTTATGAAAGCTCTTCTCTTTTCGTTTACACGGATATCTACACTGAATGTAGTCAATATTGTAGGGTGAAGAAGTTGCTGAAGTTGTTGGAATGAGATGGTGATGATGGTGTGGTTAAACAAATGCAGAGATACTGACTTATATAAAGGCTCAGGTCCAGAAGGGTTTTTTTTTTTATTTATTTTTTATTTCTTTAGTATACTGATCATTTTTTTTCTTATTTTTTTTTTCATTTCTTTCGTATACTGATCACTGATAATCTGTGCTCGTTTTTGGCTTCTTTTTTCTTTTCCTTTATCGAACAGTGATCAACTGACACGCAGCAGAGGAGGGAGTGGGTCTATTGGATGAGTGAAATTACATTATTACCCTTTCATTTTATTCTTACATAACAACATGCCATTCTATGAAAGAGGGGCGAATTGGTTATTTTGTAGACAAATATCACTCAATGGCCCCCAATTATATGAGCTTCATAGGTGGGTGAGAGTTAGGTGTGAGGGACAATAATGAACCTACAAAAAGATACGATTTTTTTATTAAATTAATAAAATTTAATAAATGAAAAATTGCTGATAATATTTGGTAACGTTTACATATTGGTTTGTATTTAAAAAAATTGAACAAACTGATTTTTGTTAATTTTTATCAATATGTAATCTCCAAACTTGTTGACTTGAACAAAATTTTCGAAAAATATTAAAAACGTATTGCACAAAATGTTTGTATATGCCTAAAAAATGAATTGACAGAAAAATTAATTGACATAAAATAAATTACATAGAAGTTATTTCAAAGAAAAAATTATTTGAAAAAAAATTATTCAAAAAAATTACTTAAAAACAATTAATTGGAAAAAAATCATTTTTTTATTTGAGCATTTTAAAAATAGTTTGGTTATGACTGTTGATCAAAAATACGGATATCAAGTTATGAGTTGTGTGTTTGATTATCAATTATAGGTTGAATTAAGTTTTGAAAACTATTTTGAAAACTCATCACCAAACAAATTTTCTTATTTCACATGTTACATCAAACTTTCAAAGCTCAATTCCACATACAATTCAAAACTCAATTCAACACTCTATTCAAAAACCATAACCAAACAAATTTTCTATACTCAAATCATAATTTCACAACTCACAAACTCAAAATACAACTCATACTCTTAAATCATATCTACAAAACTCTACCAAACACAACCTTAAGTTGCCGAAAATATCTTTATTGTATTTTTCACAAACGAAATTAGATATTTGGTGATGAATTAATATCTTTTGAGGACTGTTTTTTTTTTGGTTTAAAAATAAACTTTTTCTGCACCAAATTATTTTATTTTTAAAAATACATTTATTGGCAACATTTTCAAAATTTCGTCAATAAAAGTCAAATTGAGTGTTTATTTTACTATTTCATAATTTAATATCAGATAAAATCATTATATATTTATTTTAGTTGCGCTTTTATAGAACGATAGGGTTAAGATTATTAAAATACACATAAATAATTAAAATAAAATTATTATATATATTTGTTTAAATAACACTTTTATAGAACGATAAGTTTAAGATTATCAAAATAAATAATTAGAATAATTTTTTAATTAGATGACTTTTATTTTTCCTCTAATTTAATCATTATTTTTAATATTATAATGAATTTTTATTTTATTATATTGAAATTAAGTACAAAAGTATCATATATATATATATATATACCCTTTCATAGTTCAACATAACAAAAAGGGGGATTTTTTTTAAGGTCCCTGATATTAAGATTTTATAGTATAAAGGATATCAAATATTTTCATAATGTCTAAGGTCCCTCAACATTTGTCCAAAGAAATTTCAGTCCTAGAGAAATTCTCTCCAGAGAAAATTGAAATTCTCTCCAGAGAAATTCTCTAAGTTCAAGCCAGAGAAAATTGAAATTTCTCTGAGTACCAAAGAAGTCCAGAGAAAATTTGTGTGGCTATCTACTAAATTTCTCTGACTTCACAAATTTCTCTTGCTCTATTCACAAAGAATTTCTCTGACTTTGTGTAATATGTAAGCCCACAATACAATCTTTACTAACAAATCCAGAAATTTCTCTGGTCCAAAACCAGAGAAATTCTCTCCAAACCAGACAGATCAGAGAAATTCTCTCTATTTACAGCAGAATTATATTTTTATGAACAGACCTTGGTGATTGTACATTGATCCAGGAAATTTCTCTGACTTCACAAATTTGTCTAACTTCAAATAAACCATCTTCACTTTGAGGATGATGATTCTATTGTTTACATCTGTCTTGAATGCAAGTTTTTGCTGCACAAATCTTGTGCAGATTTGCCTCTGCAGGTAAAAAGCTCATTTTGCCACCACCAACACACACTCACCCTGCTAGCAATAAAACATTCCATATATAAATTAGACTTGAGAAGTCCAATATAGTTAGACCCATCTACGTAAACTTGCACCAAAAAACAACCAAATACTATATAGAGATAAGAGGTCTACAATAGACTTTCATTGCAAACAATACAGCTTCATGCACTGGCTTGAAAATTTCAGGGTAGAAAAATGTTTGAAAGGCAAAAGGTCCTTCATGCCATTGAAGGGATCAAACTTCCAATGAAGTTCATTTTACCTCGATATTTGTAACTATATTTAATAAATATATAAAAGGAGTAGAAAAAATCTATAAAAAATAAATTTTAAAAAATGGGAGGGGCAGGAGAGGGGGAACCAATGCTAAAAAAAATCAACACCAGGTTTCAAGATAAATAACGCATGATTGCATCTATAACATGACAGTTTACGTCATTAGAAGGGAAAAAAAATTAATAAGAACAGAATAAAATATCATCCCATGTGGTTTTCCCATAAGAAATACATTCCATGTTATCCTTAGCTACATTGAATCCAAAAGTTTGAAGATGCATAAGTACATATAGACTTTTTGGTTCAAAAGGCCAACTAGTAATCACCTGTTTGATCCATTATTGACATTTGAAATGCTAAACGAATCCAAGGACTTGTTTGGTAAGTCAGAAAATTGAACAATCAGAGAAAATTTCAATCTAAAAAAAAAATTGAACAACCAGAGAAAATTTCAATCTAAAAAAAAATTGAAAAACCAGAGAAAATTTCAATCCAGAGAAAATTGAATTACTCAAACGCCAAAAAATAGAGACAAATAGATACTAATTCCATAAGCTTCAGAACCAGAAAACTTGTTAGGCAAGTCCTCAGTGACATTTGAAATTTCAATATTCGGATTCGAAGAAGACACATTCTTGACTTCAATCTTCAGATCCACTCTTCTTTCTCGACCTCTCTTTCTCTCTCATCTTCTCCTCACACCCAAACCCTTCTCTTCTCTCTCCTCTTCCCCAAACCCCTCCGACCCCGAACCCACCTCTCTCAGCTCGCAACCTTCTTTGACATTAGATGCCCAATTTCAAAACCCTTCCTCATCAGCTCTCAACTTCACCACCAGCACCCTCTTGTTTTCTTCACCGCCATACCCTATGTGCTCTATTGCAACGCTTGTAATCGGCGAATTTGCACCTATTTTTTCCGCTATGTGGAGTGCGAATTCAATCTCCATGTCGGTTGTTGAGATTGGTTCGACGGAGATGAAGAAAAGAGCACAGAGAGAGAGAGGATGAGAGGGAGATTTCTTAATATCAAATTTCTCTGTGATAGATGGGTGTGGGTTGAGGGACCTTAGATATCAGAAAATAATATTGTAGATCTCTTTCATTACTAAAAATGGGAGAGGGACCTTAGACTAATTTTTCCTAACAAAAAATGCACTGCAATATTTCTAATATATTTTTTAAATAGTTCTATATAGATATACACACACACATATATATAAATAATTCAACTAAAATTATATATTTATTTATGTTATATTTTATATCATGATAAAATTAGTATTATTCTTTTTTAATGTATACATTGCAACATATTTCTAAAAATAATTTATATATATATATATATGTAAATAATTTAATTTTATTTTATAAAATATTATTTAAAAATGAAAAAAAAATTAACCGGTACATCGCATAGATCAACTACTAGTTTTGAACAATAATTTAATTCTAAAATCTTTTTTTCAAACAAACTTTTGGACAACTAATTTTCTCAATATTAGTGAATCTAACAGTCAGATTAAAGTTCCAAATATAATAGAATAGAACTAATTTGTGATTTCACTTATAAATTTATTGTCTCAAAAATACGAACTTTACAACAAATGGAAAGTCACACATTAAACACAAGATCAAATATTACCATGCACGATTATTATTATTGTAAAAAAAAAATGGAAAAACTCACACATTAAACATAAAGATCAAACATTGGAATGGTCACCATTAACTGAATTTGTATTTACTCTTGATTGTTGTTGGCCTTGTCCAATTGGTTCCATTTGATGATCTTCACCATTACCTGAATTTCTAACTTGTCTACATGAGTTGAAGAAGTTCTTAATTTCTGGCCAAACATGTATTCCTTTTTTGGTCTTCAACCACCAATTTATAACGCGAATTGTGTGAGCTATGAGGAGACTCACCATTACACTGCACCACACTATGGCTCCAACCACAATTGTATTCGAAAGTGGTTCCCTTTGCTTTTTTGGTGACACAACTACGATGGAAAATGCATAAGTAAAAGCAATTGATGTAATTGTCACCCACATTATCACGACCATAAGCCACATGAAAAACTTTTTCTTGAACGGCCAACCAGTTATGAGCAATAAGATTGTACTCACAGATGCAACGAATCCTGTCGTGTTAGCACGAATGAAATACGGATATGTATTTGGATAGTTATAAGCCATTATAGCTTCCCCTGCTCTATGTGAAGGTGCATTGTCTGGCCAGAAACCTCCTGGAGGATTCAGCCCAGCTTGGAAAGCCATTGTCGCGATAAGTGATGCCACGACCATTAATATGTCTCGTTTTTTTGACAACCATGCACCTTGGGAGAGATCTTTTGCTTTCATTGCTTTCACTTTTCGAAAGGTGGCTTTAATTTCCTCTGTGTTTTCTTCAATTTCCATTACAATCATGTCATATGCTGTGTAGCCATAATTGTTTACTGCATTTACTGCCTTTATTCGATTTTCTGACTTTTCTGCCATTTCTATTTTTTTAAGCAAATAATCCACAACCTGCAAAATTTATACTCCATTGTCAACATTAATTGGATGTAATTAGCTAGTAATTCCCCTATAAGACTGTGTTTGATTTATAGATTTGAGGAGAGATTAGAGAAAATAAAGAGAAAATGTATGTGAAATGTAATTATATTTCGTTCACATTGCACCTTTATTTTTTCTTTTCCTTCCTAAATTTTTCTCCAAATTTATAAATGAAACAGTCCAAGTGTAGTGATATAAATGTTTACAAATTTAAAGAATAAGTTTTTGGGTAAATGAGTGTTTCATTATAAAAAAGAAAGAATGTAAGACAGAGCTCCATACAAAGCCTATATCAGCTACACTAGGGCCAAGGTAGTCATGGCGCGCGCGCGCGCACACACACACAAAATTAAAAAAATAGTGCACAAAAAATTAATGACATTAATTACAGTTATGCAACCACCTTTATCTAAAACATTTTATTTAGTACCACAAGTTATTATGGATATATTGGTTTAATGGGTTGCACTTTTTATCTAGGATTAATTATACTACCCTTAACTATTAGTATATATTATTTTTTCTCATCTATCTATGAATTCATACATTTTGAGTCCTTCAATTATAAAAATGTAACCATGCTGTTGCTGTTTTGGAATGATGCTTTTTGCTTTTGCCTCTCCTCTTTGTTGATGTATACCATGATATATTTTGTTATGTTATCATGAATAAAGTGTCTTTAATTTTTGCTGGTAAAAAAAAAAAAAATCTATAAAAATGTAACACTTTCACCCTTACAAACTTCCTTTAAAAGGGGTATTTATACTATTTTCTAGTTATGAAGGTTAATATCTATGAATTCAAAGATAAGGCGCAATACAATATTTGCTAATAATTTATGAAGTCTTGGTATAATTAAAAATCTATTATACTAGTATTTTAATGAAAATGCTAATGACAGTTCTTTGGATTATAAATAATTTCAATAGACGTGTAAAAGATGTATGGAAATAATTTTAAAATGTATAAAAAAATTAAGTTTATAAAATACTCAAAATTATTTTTAAATAATAAAACCAAACATACTTATTTATATTAACAAAATTCTACGACACACAATGTTATCTGATATATGTAAATTTTCAAGCCGTACTAATTGTAAAACAGTTTAATCGTACAAAAAATTAGCTGGTTATCTAAAAATTGCCAATATTGATTTTTTTTTTTTTTTTGACATAAAAATTTAACTACAAAAAACATAAATAAGTTATCTAAGATAAGTAGGATTCTAAATACAAGTTTTCTTGAATTGAGTTGTTTCTTAGCTAATTATAAGGTGCCACATTATCCTTAAAAGGTGTGTTTGATTGGACGGACTGGATAAAGGGTGATTGGAATCCATCGGACTTGAGTTCTAGGACTGTGAATCCCTAGACTATTTGGTTGGATTGAATATGTATCCTGTGTTTGTTTTTTCATGGGATTAGATGTCTGGAAATGACTATTTTTAGTGAATCCAACGTTTGGTTGGACGGATTGGATAGGATAAATGAATAAAAGACTATTTTACCATTTTCCAATTGTTTACTGAGTAATAGTAATATTAAACATATCTTTAATATTTTAATTATTTTTAGCTAGATTAAATAAAAAATTATTTTATTTTATTTTTTATACAATTAAATAAATTTATTTTTTTAAAAATAAATAAATAAATAAAATATCAATAAAAATTTATATTATTTCTTTAATTAAAATTTTAAATAAATTTGTTTTTAAAAATAATAATAATTAAACAATGAAATTAAATAAAACATCTATTAACATTTAAATAATGAAATTAAATAAAATATAAACAAAATTTTAAAATAAAACATCAATAAAATATCTATAAAAATTATTTAAAATAAATAAATAAAACATCAATAAAAAGTTAAATAAAATTATTTTATTTTTAAATTGAGACATTTAAATTTTATTGAATTTTATTAAATATAATCCATAATTAAATAGTAGAGGGTCAAAATGGTCATTTCACCACCTAATCTCAACAGTAAATAATCCCCCCAAAATTATCCCACACCCCCTAGGATAATATAATTCCCCATATGGGGATAATATAATCCCCCATATGGGGGATAAGAAGTCCGACCGAATTCCATATCCGGCAGACTAAAAAAAAAACAAACATCGAATTAAATTTACTGTACGAAGATTACAATCCGCACAATAAATGATCCTCCCAATCAAACACACAGCACCTACATCTTGGGTTAAAGGAAAACCTTCTGCTATGCAAAATGCGTATTGGCCTTCTAACATTTTTAAAATTATTTTATCTTTATGATCCCTGTTTTTAATAACAAATTAAATGATATTCAAAATTTAATTATGGTAGAAATACTATTTAGCACTATGGAAACTTCAATGATATATTGGCTAGTCATTAACTGCAAGAATGGCAAACTAACGGGCTTATGCCGATTGGTCAGAACTCTTACACCTCACTACGAGGTTAGTAATTCGAATCTTTCTATCTAGGTGTGAGTCTTATTTCCCGCATATTAATTAAGATTTTCTCTTCTACTTTGAGAGTTTCTTTATAAAAAAAAAAAGTTTATATTGTATTTAATCTTTATTATTATCATTGTAATTCATTGAGTTTCATTATAATATCTTATATGAATAAAAAAAAATTTAAAAAAAAAAAATTGAACTTCAAGAATGGCTAAAGAAAAATTAATAATAGCAGTGAAACTCTTTTAAAAATTAAATTTTTTTTGTGTCAATAAGTCAAAAATTAGTAAACAAAAATGTATAGTAAGGCCAGAGACACAAAATTCTATTAAATGAGTGTGGGATCAAACAATGTGATTTTCACGTGGGTTCCATACTTATGTGAGATATTTAGTAAAATTTTTGATAGAATTTTTGAGATTTCTAATATTTTTACTAAAACAAACTTAATTATTAGCATACCTTGAATTCTTTATTCCTGACAGCTAGATGCAGTATGGTATTACCAGCAACATCCTTGGCATTCATCAACGCATGAGGGCTACACAGGCTTTCTTCAAACAACTTGTCCAAGACCTCCTTCTTACCTTTCATGGCTGCAAGATGGAGAGGGGTTCTAGCATCTCCATCAAGAGATGTGCACATGTCACGATTTTTCGATACAAGCTCTTGTACAATCGCCAGATGGCCTTGAGCAGATGCCAAGTGAAGAGGAGACCATCGGCGCGAATCCAACACCTCAACAAGCCCCGGACTTTTCTTTAGAATTTCTTTAACAAATTCTAAATGCCCGTGATACGCTGCTACGTGCAGAGGAGTGTGAATGAAACAACCCACCTTAATCCTATCAAGAATCTTTGGATCTTTTTTCAGTATTTCTTTGAATGCTTCTAAATTCTTTTCAACTATTGCTTCATGGAACTCCTGGAGCTTCTGTTCCATTCTCCCTCCTCCACCCTCAATCTCTCCCTCTCTCTTGCTTCTTTTTTTTGCTCTTTCTTTGTGTCTCTTGTTTAATTGTGACATGGATCGAGGCCTAGCCAGACACATATATGCATACATTTTTTGATTGACTAAATGTTCTAGGTCAATTTTTAATATTTTTCAGAGTTTGGCATAGAAAACATGTGCAAAGAGATGTAATTACCAATTAAACAATTGTTGTTTTTTTTGTTTTTGTTTTGTTTTGTTTAGTTTTTTTTTTTTTTTTTTTTAATTAACATTTATGAATTTTTGTTTTTTTATCTTGTTAAATTAACACTTATGAAAATTAACATCTCCACCTATTATACTTTGTCTCCTAAACTCAACTCGCCTAGGAAGAATTGAACTCACAACTTCAGTTAAGGAATAAATCCTTAGAGAAGTCATGCTAGTCAACAAGACTAAGAGTTGTTTTTAAAAGTTGGTTAAAGATTAATTTTTTTAATTTTTTGAAGTTGTTTTTAAAAAATATATATAAAAAAATAAAAAAATAATATGACTCTAAAATAGTTTAAAATTCAAAAATTGACTTTGGCATCTCATTGGTTCGCCCAACAGTTCTCCCCCTCATTCACAAGCGGAATCAGACAAAGCCTCCGTTTGGCAAGTTGGGTTGGGGGCTTTTTTGGCTATTTTAGCCACAAAAGACAAAATAGGCTATTTTAGCCACAAAAAACAAAACATCACATCTAACCCATAATCATTACACTCTTCTTTCACAAAAAAAGTCAAAAAAGCCAAAAAGTCAGAAAACCCTTCCCAAACCAAGCTTTTTAGCCCAGGCTAAAATAGTCAAAAAAGTCAAAAAATCAAAAAGCCAACCCACTTCCCAAACGGAGGCAAAAGGGCACTTCCTAACATGTTTCCATATTGACCCTATGTCTAAATGTGAACACGACTGACTGTGTGAAACTAATGAAGCGCCCTTACCGAGGACTAGAAGAACTTTGATAATATCTGAGAATGCAATGATCTGAGGGAGGTAGAAATCCTTGTTTTCAACACTCAACTCCCATATGCCATCCATTTAAATACATAATTAAGTAGAACTTGCATTTTTCTATCTATTAAAATATATATTTGAAGATGTTTATTTTAAATTTTTTAGAAAAATGCTCATATTTAATTATACTAGTTAGGTAGACCTGAGCGATGTGATCGCTATGCCTGTGGTAGGCCACAACTTTGGGAATTTTACGGGACGGGATAGGTGCTGTCACAGCACCATGTTGTAACAACGAAACCACATCGTTTAGTTTATTAAAAATAAAATAAAATATTGAATCACACGCAGGCTGCTGTCTTGCTTTGTTGTAGAACAACATTTAGGTTGAGTTTAGGAAAATAAGGAGAAGCTATATAAAAAATAAAAACACAAGCATCTGACCATTAGTTCTTATAAATTTTCGGATAAATTATACTGATATTTTTATATTTTATTTTTGTGCCATTTTAATTCATGCAATTTTAATTAATTCTATTTTGACTATATATTTTTGATTTTGTCCTAGTTTAATTCAATTTATTATAATTATTATTTTTTTATTTATGAAAAATGCGCATATGAGCGGCATGTATCACGTAAGGACAGATTTATAAACTTTATCAATTTATTGAGTTAACATCAACTAACTTAGTAATTATTTTTCATCAAAAATCCAAACGTCATTATCAATTGAACGAAATTGGCACAAAAATCTAAAAAATTAAGGATCAAAATTGAGCTAATTGAAAGTGTAAGAACCAATACGACACAAGTGACAAAATTTAGGAACTACCGATGTAATTTACTTTAAATTTTAAAAGAAAACCAATGTTGAATTCAAACTGTGAACCAACCAACAAATAATATTTCAATTATACAACCTGTAACAATGATATAATACAAAAAGTACATGTAGCTATCATATATATATATGTATATGTGTGTGTGTTTGTGTGTGCGTGTGTAATTGTGACAACTAAATTAAATCAAAAATAAAAAAATAAAGTTGAATTCAAACTGTGAACCAACCAATAAATTCAATATTCAATATCATTCTAAATCCAATTCCTTGACATACCAAATCATCCAAAATTCAAATTTTAAAATCATTAAAATGAATAAACAATAATATGATCGAGCCCAATATTTCTAGAAAGTAGAAAATTACAATAATGATAGGGCAATAGTTAAATGTTAATCAAATGTCATCTCTTTCAATTTTGTGGGGGTGGTTGTGAATTGCTAGAGAAATTAACAAATTCATCCTTGTCCAAACATGACGAAACCTCCATGGGAGTTTGCACTGTTGGATCAACTGAAATTTCATGGGAAAAAAAAAGTATAGAACAAAATGTATTTAGAATAAAATTTATTGACTATATTTTTGTTTATCTATTCAAATGTAAGTATATTAAATACCTGAGAAATTGGTGGACTATATAATACTTGGGAAGAGTAAAACATCGACTGTGGGTGTGATGGTAGGCAGTTAACATCATGCGTGAACAGATTATACCCATAATTCATTTTTTGTGACCAATAAGGTGTTTGAACATCCTAAATAATTGTAAGTAAACATAATGTGTCATTATCATTACATTTGCACCATAAAATTGTAAATAAAAATAAAAGAAAAACTCATATGTGGCTGGTTTGAAGATGAATTTTGGGCATCTATATTGTTGTTGCATTGGTCAATATTTTACGGATGTTTTGAAGTATTTATAAGTGCATTGCACAAAGTAAGATAAATAAATAAAAATAAAAAAAATATATAGAAATTACATAGCTAAATAAGATTAATACTTGAGTGATGCAATGTCGTGAAACAACTTTGTCCTCGTTCCAATCTTCTTATGCCAATGCTTTAATCTACCACCACTCTTTTGTAATTGTCTTTCTTTTTCAAACCCTTAACTTTTCAAAATTTGGATCAATATCATTTAATCCCATGTCAATGGGGCCTCCATTACTTGAAGCATTTGAGTTATTTAGTGAAATGATCATATTGTCTACTTTTACACACAAATCAGAAATACTATTGTCCACAAATTGATTATGGTATCATATTCAGATGATCGAGCTGCTAATTTTTCCATTCTAGGACAAAGATGTCTATAACGTGCTGGTGTAGACACCCCATTTTTGACTGTCCTCAAGACTTGGACGTCATCGTTTGAACACTCGATGATCATCCATGCTCGTGTTCGTTTTGAGTTCCCGAAGGTCTCGGCTGCACGCCTTGCCTTAGGATCTCTCAACTTGTCTGTTTTGTGCTTGGTTGTGGACCAAGGGCTTGTGGTTGTACTTCTGAGGGAAGAGGGTGGCTTGTTGACCATCCCCTCAACCCATCGGCCAAGGAGTGATGCCATCGGCCTTGTTTTCTTTCCATCGGCCAAAAGTGATGGCCGATCGGCACTTTTTTTGGTCGATTAGCACTTTGTGTGGTCGATCAGCCATATTTTTGAGCCGAGACCTTTCCATCTGCTTTTTGCAGATATTTTCTGCCAGCTGTAACAGCTGGTGGGCATAATTCCCATCCTCCATACACGTGTATGGAGGGATTTGTTTCAAGACTCAAGCTTGTTGAACAAGCTTGAGAATTGAAATTCTATAAAAAGGGAGCCTCCTCTCCCTTTCCAGAGGTTCTGAAAATCTGAGATACAAGTTCTATATCTCTCTCTCTATATATATATTTGACCTCTCTCTCTTGTTTTGCCTTTGTTTGTGCTCAAAAGTGTAGAATCTCCATACTATTGCACACAAACACCTAGTGGAACACCATCCTTTGATTGCTAAGGTCCTTAGGAGTTGGTTTCAGTGTTCTTGAAGTGGTTTAAGCTCAGAAGAGGTGCTGGAGTTGTGTTCTTGAAGGTGTTCTTCGAGGGTGAGTAAACTACCTTTTAATCCCCCATTTTGGCTTAAGCTTTTAGACCTATTTGCATATTGTTTTAAGCTTAACTATAAACTGAAAAAAGTTATTTTTTTGTGTGCTTGGCATGTTTGTTTAAGGTCACATTTTGGTTGGGGGTAGTCTACCCCCTCTTAGGCCTTGTTTGGCCTTTTTTTGTGCCTTCCCTTTTGAGCTTTGGAACAATCTTGCTTTGACCTTTCTACCACTGAAATCCAGAGAATTTTCAGTGGTGGAAAGGTGGTTTTTGAGTCTTGTATAGGAGAGGGACACCCCTCTCTCCTTGTGTCTCATTTGCTTGTATATTTGGCTCATAATGGTAGCATGTTTGCTTAGCTTGTTTTAGCTTCATTTCAGCAAGTATTTGGTGTTATTTTGTCATGCTATACCTCTGTTTTAAGTTGGTTTGATAGCCTCTTACATGCATCATGCATTTGTCTTGCAATCCTCTCATTTCCCTTAACATGCATCATGCATTTGGACCATCATGCTTGCATGTTTTAGCTCAACTCAAAGAAGCTTTTAGTCATGTTTTACCATGCTTGAGCTCTGTTTTTTGTTGTTTTGATCATATATGCCATGCTTTGTATAGCTACAATACATTCTAGCTTGTTAGCTTTGAGTGTCCAAGTCACTAGCATGCGTTGTTTAGACCATTTTCATGATTTGGCATTGTTTCATATGAGATTTCAGTCCATATAATGTGGCCATCCATTCACATTTGTCACCTTTTCAATGCATTGGGAGGTTTGTGTTTTATGCCTTAAGAGTGGGTCATTGTGCATGCCTCCATGTTTAGGTTTTTGGGATGCCATCTAAGTGGGTTTTCGGGCTTATTTTTACATGCCATAACTCTATTTTTTATTGGTTAAGTCATGCTATGCTTGGTCTTAATAGGTGTAGTATAACACCCCTTTGTAGCCTTGCATGCTTCATGCTTTTGGCCTTTCATGTTGACTTGTTTTGGCCTTGGTCCATGCATGTTTTAGACTCACTTTGGCATGTAGTTTGAGTGGTTTGGCACCATTCCATGCATAATTTCAGAGCTCACAATGCTTGTCGCATGTTCATACTTTCCACGCTTTAGTGCTCTTAAAAGTTGGTGTCTTATTGCCTTGTTTATGAACCTAAGTGTGTACATGTTTGTATGTGCTTT